CGTGTAAATGTAGAAAGTGTATGTAAACAATTGCCACGTTCTTATTGTGCAACAAGTCTTTACATTCCTAAACATACGACTATATTTTGTGACAATTTGAATGTTTTCAATCAACTAATAGAAGTTCCTGTGTATGTTTCTTGCACAAATGCATTAATGTCAATGTATATTTTCGTTTCCTGCTTTACCAAGTGTGTAGAATCTAGACGCTACCGTGTTTTTACCTCCAAATTGAAGAGTACAAGTGCTACCATTGGTCAAGAATAATGTATTCGGAATGGGCGTGACTTTAATATACCGATAGATGGCGTAACATTGTTATCACAAATGTTGGCTTAATCTGCCAAGGGTGGAGAGGAGGGAAGTGGATCGTAACCCTTTGCTAGCGAAGATGGACTTACAGATACAGGACATTATTCTACAATATAGATCTATTTAATTTACTGACATGTGACACAAGTTTCTGTTTAAGTTCACTGTGGGAGAGGACAACCGATTACTCTCACGTGGAATGTACGAATTTGGATAATACAATAGACGACATAATTCGTGGATTTTCCCGTACATAACCGATGTCAAAATAGTTGAAAATACTTATCTTATCGTATTACGACACAGTAAGCGTCAATTGTTCAATGACGTGATTTATGCAAATTGATCTCGGGGTGAAAAAAAAAGAAGAAACGTTTCGAAATTGGTGTGTATCCCGCGTACAATATTCTCTTTCAAAAAGCAGTGGAAGAAATATTCAGGGCAGAGCTGCAACGATGTACCAGTCGTATTGGTACACATCCACTGAGTAAAGGAAACAACTTGCACATCTTACATTGTTCTGTTAAATAGCAGACGAGGTATATGTAAATTATGGTGTTTCCTCTGTGGAAACCGATTGAGAATGATTTCCGTAGAGTTGTCTCATATCTAAAAGGTATGACATTTAAAGAATTTTGACTATGATTGGATTGTAAATATTATCCTCCTTAACGACAGACAAAACATCTAATTTGCAAGGTATTTCATATGTATGCAACATACACATCTATTGTGTTACAACCCAAGAGGAAGTCGACTTTTAAAAGCTATATTGTATATAACCTAGTTTTTCGAGTGCGCTATGTCTACGATGTCAAGAATCATGGATCGTTGAGTGGAAAACAAAATATGCTATCGCATATTTTGAGATATAAAATTGTTGGGTTAAATTCTAGACAAATTATATATAAAGAGTTATGCTAGCCCTGTATAAACTAAGGTTATCCAAACACTAATGTCGTAAAATTTGTCATATTATTAAACATATAAACTGAAAACCTATTTATTTTTCTGCATGTTAATTAAAACTATCTGTTATGACAGACAAAGAAAATCAACTGATATTTAGGGTTTTCCAGATACATATACCATAAGTCATTACTGAGTTACACCCCTATAAAAGGCCAATGCAAATTTGAAAGACATCACTCAACCAAAGCAAGCAGTATTTTATTTAGCTTATATAAAAATAAGAAGATGCGGTATGATTGCCAATGAGACAACTTTCCACCAGAGACTTACTGAGTTAGTTGGTAGCAACCATAGGTCACCGTACTACCTTCAACAATGATCATATGAAAGGTCTCGACATGACAAAATGTAAAACAATTCTAACAAGAAAACCAACGGGTTGTAGTTATTATATACAAATCAATAAACTAAAACAAATTTGATATATTGTAACAAACTACAACAACTGAATTACAGCCTTCTGAATTGGGACAGAATGTAGCGAAGTTAAATATGATTGCGGGCGCCAACACTCTCCCCCTTACTTGGGACAGTGGTGAAACAGCAGAATTAACTGCAAATTCAGAAACTATTGCGATGTTTTTATTATTGCAAAATTTTTGACAGGATATATGTTTCACCAAAATAAAAAACCCGAATTTCAAAATCGAAAGCATTATTTGAAAGCAACATTTCCTGAAATCGCAATAATTGATCTTACATTTGTGTCCATTGTTCGATAATCGTAAAATAAATGCACGCACAAAGAATTTTACAGTAGGAAGAATCTTTAAAAAAAAACACACACACAAAGTATCGATCTGAGAGTATTCACAGTTACTGAAAGCTATTTCAAACCAAATAACAACTAATAAAAAATCCGTTATCTAAAACAAAATATAAATCAGTACAATTAATAACTGTATAGCTATACATATGTTTTAATCAATGTTAATACCGATAAAAACAATATTCATCGATCTTATAACAATGTTTGATTGATAAACTTTAAGAATAAGTGTACTCAAAGGTGAACAATTAATAACCTTTAAGAATAAGTGTACTCAAAGGTGAACAATTAATAACCTTTAAGAATAAGTGTACTCAAAGATGAACAATTAATAACCTTCACGAATAAGTGTACTCAAAGGTGAACAATTAATAACATTTAAGAATAAGTGTATTTGAAGGACCGATAAGTTAACATTGATCGTATCTAAATTTAGGTAATTTGTGGAAAAGAAATCCCTGACCTATTAATTTACTAGTAATTATAAAAATAAGATGTGGTATGATTGTCAATGAGACAACTCTCCACAAGAGACCAAATGAATATAATGGAGTATGTTTACAGCTCTCTCACAAGCAAAGAACCCTAACTGTAAAATATAAGGGCATACACTACAGGCACGGGGACACATTCTAATGCACCCACACAGCACGAGTAACAAACCTCCTGCAGTACATATAAAAATAAGAAGATGTGGTATGATTGCCAAAAATACAAACATTACGTTCATTGAAATCAATAACGCCACGATAGGCAATGGCATATCGAACGAGTCGTCCCTTTTGTTGTAAATTTTTGTATAAAGTGTCCCGTTTGAAACTAAAGTATCTATATTTACTTTAGGAAAGGACAGTAAGCACTGTGTCCATCAAAATTATTTCCGTTAGTTCACATGGGTAAATTTCGGCAGTATATCGAGAGACTTCATAATTATTTAACGAAAAATATCAATAATGTAACGGTAAGTGTTCGGATTTATCAATTAAATTGGAAAAACTCATCAAAGCTTATTATGGTGTACGCCAGACAAGCTTTTCACCTACAAATTTCTCATCAGTCACAAGCACGGACCTGAATGGAGAAGGATTTATGATTTCATTCTTCGCTGAGGCCATTAACTGCGAATCTTTAGAATGCAGGATTATGTTTGCTATTTAAGGGCACAATTGGTGCCCATTGGAATATATGAAATCATTGCCTAATCGAAAGTGGATGTTGTCGAGGAGAAAATATTTTGTGTCAATCAGCTAATTACACTTCACCTTGTTTTATAACAGAAGAAGGCTTTATTTGAATTGCAGCTTATAAATTGGAAATCAAGATTTTTCAAAGGAACCATTTGATTCAATAGAAACTTTTGTTTGATAAGATATGGTGGAAGGCTAGTTTAGAGAGTCGAAAAGTCAAAACTGTCAACCGAATGAAAATTTAACTATTTTCGTATTCGTTATTATGTCCCAAAGGTGATTGGGGAAGAGATATATGGTCACTTAGGTCTTCTTCCGACCGGCAGTAAAACCCTTGCCTAAGTGGGGCATCCGTTTGGCTGTGTGGGATGTACAAGTACATAACCACGTCTGGTCATTATGGGGACGTTAAATCCGATGCCTCGTGTAGAGAGAGTGCCAAGCTCTCTGCAGATTAAGACCCCTTGCAAAAACTCTTTGATGGTACGTAGATTGCAGTCAAAATTTCCCCGACCTTTATCTCGGACGGCCTCTATTTAAGGATTTTCCTTTATTACTAATTTGTTCTCGTCCTGAACATACATGGAATATTTGTACCTGAGGCGTAAAACTGTGATAAGACAATGATATCGTATGATACTAATTGACTATACATGGAGTAAACGGACCTTAATGAATTTAAAATTTCATTCTTTAGAATTCCTGTTTAGTAAAGTAAAGTCATACCACCACCACATTGTTGGCTGCAATGTATAAAACAATGAACGAAAAACAAATATGATATACATCAACAAACGACAACCACTGAATTACAGTCTCCTAACTTGGGACAGGCACATATAGAATATGGCAGGGTTAAACATGTACCTTAGTGACAGTCTTAATCATCAAGCCGGTTCTACGGGCCATCTTAAACTTGCAGTAAGGTGAGTTTTTTTTTAGCTCCGTGTTAAAGGCCTCACTGTGACTTTGAGATGAACATAAGTAATAAAAGCGCTTTTCCTTTGCTTTTTGCGTGTTTTCCTTTGCTTTTGTGTGTTTTCCTTTGCTTTTTGTGTGTTTTCCTTTGCTTTTGTGTGATTTTTGCTGTGCATGTTTTGATATGGATTGATATCCCATATCCTTTGTTTTTCTATGTTTGCTTGAGTTGCTCATTAAAAAGTGAATTATAAACAACTGTCATACAAGTGGGAGGTTTAGTTAGCTATAAAATCAGGTTTAACCCACCATTTTCCTCGGAAAATGCCTGTACCAAGTCCGGAATATTACAGTTGTTTTCAATCGTTCCGTTGGTTGATATCGTTTGATTTTGTCAGTTTTTATGTACTTCCCTTTTTGAATTTACCTGGGTGTTCGGTACTTTTGTTATACTTTTTAAATTTAGTAACAGGTCACCATTCAGATATCTGAAAGTGAAATTAAAGAACATACCACGAGTTTTGGTCGTTTTGTCTGTGAGAAGGTTTGTGTGATTTCTGCTTCATATGAGTACAAAAATAAGTCGGCCAATTAGTATCTAATGGAATACCGACAATCTGCTGAAATATAAATCCATCTATCTCAAACTACAAAACCAACAAATATGATTTCGATTTATAATTGTATAATTATAACCATATCAATTATAATTCATGTCAACACAAAAGTGCTGACTACTGGGCTAAATTGTTATCGTAAACAAACCCATCAAGAAACGGAAAAGAAAACTTCAGATAGAAATTCAGAAACTATTTGATAAACATTATATAACTATATATAAGCAGCCCTCATAATTTGTTGTTCATAATTAGGTAGATAACGTCAACATGTATAAAATGTACACCAAAATTTTACTAGCTACTTTGTTGGTTATCAAAATTGCACATACGATTGCCATACCTGACCATTTAAACGCAACGATGATTAGCAGTGTTCATGCATCACAACTGAACAGAGATCTAACAGAATCCATCAAAGAACAGATAAAACTGGGTTTGGCACAAGCAAAAGATGAGGTTATCCACCAAATGGAGGTACTCGTTGCCGAATACGGTAAATACAAATAATTTTATGCTAATAGATTCTTTTAAAGTGACTTTGGGAAGTGCCTAGTCAGAAATTAAAATGCTTATGTATTGTTGTTGTTAGTGGTTGATATATTCCTCGATATATATAGAATAATATATGGCAAAATCCGTATCGCATGCTGTATCACCACGAGGAACCAATATCAGTCCCGAGGGCCGAAGGTCCCGAGGGCTGATATTGGTCGAGTGTTGATAGAGCATGCGATACGGATTTTGCCATGTATTGATCTGTTTATCATATATTTCAATAGAATCAGATTCATGAGATATCCTTTTTTAAATCGTTCGAATTTTAAGAGAGAAGATGAAATAATGATTTTCATGTATTTTTCCAGCTGATGGATTTTATGTTAGAGACTTCCTTATTTGCTTAATATCCCGTTTTAGGATAGTCATTACAAAATTCCAGATCGCCCATACTAAACGATACATCTACGTCGTTATGTCTCCAGTAACCTTATTACATGCTCAATATACTAGAGCTATGAAACTGGCAAATAGTATATTTTAAGACCATGTATTTAAATTCATTCACTAACGATACTGTCAGCTCTTTCCTCCTGTAGGATACAACCCATCTTCCCGATATTTGTTGTCAAGTTTAACCAAGTTTCACGGTGACCTTTATTTTCATATTATACTGCAATCTGATCTCATTTGTATACATGAATGTGGGCAACAATGTTACCAAGTATTATCTATTCAAAGATTGACAGACAAACAGAGGGATTCCTATATATATATATATATATATGAACTCCACATATTCGACAGGGTTGCAATTTTGCTGCACTAAATATGTGCATATTCGATTACTAAAATCTCTTCAGTAGTGCTTGATGTTTAAACTTTACTAACAGGGGTTTTCGCAGGGGAAATATATATATACACTGAATACCATGATCACTTCTGAAGCTTGTGTAACCCCATCATTTATTAGAACTAAACATATTGGACTTGGAATTTCCATAAATGAAACTCTGATGGTGATACTAATGAATGAATATAAATATATCACCATTTTATTTTTAATCTGACAAACAAAACAACAATATTACATAAAGGATCATATGGCAGCAAAAACAAAATAACAACTACCTTAAATTAGGTTTAATACTTGTATTAAAAGAGAAATCTGGTCATTTGTTAAAATAATCCATCATATGAATTTCTAGTCCTAATCTGGCATAAAAGACTCATTTTGTTTTGCAAGTATTCAGTGGTCAAATTTTCTTTCCTTCCCTTTTGGATGCATGTAATTTATGAATTTCCTTTTTCCCATTTGGAACCTCATGATGATACATGTACATGTAACTTGTTTTAAAACCACTTTTAATATTTGCATTATTCAAAATAATTGGGAGTTTGAAGTGAACATTGCTATTTAAACCCTTGATTAAGGAAAAGTATCTGCAGTACTGCTTATCAATACAAATGCTATAGAATAGTAATTTATAGATTCCATACTTGTTTTGCACAAAAGTTCACACACATACATGTACATGTACTTTTGAACAAAATACTAGTAAAGAGAGAATGGGTCTTTTGATCATTTTCTAAAATGAAAATTTCTAGTCTGAATCAGTGTCATAAATGACCCATTTTTTCTTAGAAGTATCATGTCAGGAAATACGGCAACTGGACGTCATATATCCAACTTTGACGTCAAGACGTTTTACTATTTATTCTAACTTCAAGATATCTCATATATATATAATATATCTTATAAAGAAAATTATATGAGATATCTTATAAATTATATGAGAAATCTTATACCCTATATAAGATATCTATCTTATAAACTATATAAGATATCTATCTTATAAACTATATAAGATATCTTATAAACTATATAAGATATCTTATAAACTATATAAGATATCTTATAAACTATATAAGATATCTATCTTATAAACTATATAAGATATCTATCTAATAAACTATATCAGATATCTTATAAACTATATAAGATATCTCATATAATATATAAGATATCTTATATAATTTAGTTTTTATAAGATATCTCATATAGTTTATACGATATCTTATATACTTAATAAGACATCTTATATACTTTATAAAATATCTTATAAACTTAAGAAGATATCTTATAAAGTATATAAGATATCTTATAGAGTTAAGATATCTTAAAAAGTTTATAAGATATCTTATAAGATATGTTATAAATATAAAATATCTCATATATAGTGTATAATATATCTTATAAAGAAAAGTATATGAGATATCTTATAAATTATATGAGATATCTTATAAACTATATAAGATATCTAATAAACTATATGAGTAATCTTACAAAGTTTATTAGATATCTTGAAGTTAGAACAAATAGTAAAACGGCTTGCCATATAGATTAAAAGTAAATTGTTATTCGAATGATATTATTTAACGCCATTATATAACTGTTAACATTTAATTTCAAGGTAATGAATATTTTATAAACAAAAAATTGACTTTTATTTCTCTTATAGAAGCTGTTCAAGGAAAATCATCTTGCAAGTTTGAAAGCGTTTTTCGTATAAAACAAAAGTTTCGACTTCTCGAACAAAATTAGCCTGGGATGGTTATAGCTTCTGTTTTAGTCTTTGTCGATTGATATATAACCCTTAGTTGTTTAGATATCTTTTTCAAAGGGTGTGCTCCTAACTCAAAAACTCTTTCAGAAAGGTTATAAGGAAGAACAAATGAGATCGACACTATAAAAGGTTTATGGTCTTATTTACGATTTACTTGACAGGTTATTTAGTCTGTATCTCATGGCTCCTTTATTTACATAAAGTTTTCAGTCGGTGCCTGAGAAGATTCGATCAAATATTGGCAATTAAAACTATGTCCACAGTTGCACTCTTGATAATATATATTTTGTTTTCAGCTTTCAGTAAAAAAATGAAGTTGTACTGAAAAAAAATATCCTTTTTTTGTGTTGGGGCGCTTTCAAACACATTTTATTTATGTAAGGCGTTTACTTTTTTCATCTCCAGAATACCTGAAAAAGTTATTATATGTATGCATCAGAAAGGTGACCCTGATAGTCAAGATATTTTTAGATTTTATCGTCATTACTACTTCACGTCACGGCTATACCATTTCAGAATTCTTTATTTTGCAAACCCATTCTTTTCTTGTCGGTATGAATTCGTGCGGAGTAACGTCAAATTATTTATTCAAATTATTGAAATGTACATGTTTACCCGTCAGATATGAATTTACGATGAATAACATTTATACAATTAAAGATGTGTTTTGTTTACTTGTGTTTAGATTTTTTTAAATTATTATTTTCAGCGTCAGAAACCAGACAAGGATGTAAGTATTATTGAAAAATACCGAAAACAATGTTTTTGATGCTTGTCTCCAATAAATAACTGAACATTTGAGATAAATATCAAAGGACTAGTAGGCCAATTACACAATAAAGTTTGAGACCAGTGTTAATAAATCTCTCGAAAAGTTAAAAGAAAAAACAGAGGTATAATTTTGATGTCATTTGAATATTTGCCACAATTTCCAAGACAAGTCTTATTATTTTTAAAAGAAAATTACTTTTTAATAAAATTTACATGTTTTTGTATGATATATATAATTGAGCGGTTGCAGGTCATGTATGACAAGGTTGACCAATTGACGTTTTCACTGCTCTGTGTGTTAGTGCCAAAGAATTTCTATATTGCCCTCCTAAACGTTTGGTCTATGACGTACATAATTCAGGTAACATGTGACATGCTCGGAGTCTTTGGAGAGTTCACTGCAAGTAAACCAGCTAAGTGTCAGCGTAAGTAAACCATCTCAGTGGCAATCTTAGTAAACCAAATTGGTGTAAGTGTACGCTAACCACCTTAGTTCTAGTCCAAGTAAACCACATTAGTTTCATTTTAAGTGAACCACTTTAGTGTAAGTCTTGGTAAACTATCTTAGTGTGAGTCTTAGTCAACCATCTCACTGTCAGTGTAAGTAAATCTCCTTAGTGTCAAGGTAAGTAAACGGCCTTGGTATGAGTTTAATTAAACCAAATTAGTATCAGTGTTAGTAAACGGCTGTTTTCTGTCTGCTCTTTGGTCGGGTTGTTGTCTCTTTGACACATTCTCCATTTCCATTCCCAATTTTATTCTACTTAGTGTTAGTGTGAGTAAACCACCTTAGTGTCAGTATCAATAAACCACATAATTATCAGTGTAAGTAAACCACCTTAGATTTAGAGTAAGTAAACAACATAAGTACGAGTTTAAGTAAACCATAATTTGTACCAGTGTTACATGTAGTAACCCACTAAGTGTTAGTGTAAGTAACCCTCTTAGTGTCAGTCTTAATAAACTATGTTAGTGTAAGTGTAAGTAAACCACCTTAGTACCAGTCTACTTAACAAAACTTTGGACCAGTGTAAGTAACACAACTTAGTCCCAGTGCAAAAAGACATTAAGTACCAGTGTAAGTAAAACAACTTAGTACCAGTGTAAAAAAAACTTTTAGACATCATAGTACCAGTTTAAGTTATACAACTTAATACTGATGTAAGTAAAACAACTTAGTACCAGTGTCAGTAACACGACTTAGTACCAGTGGAGGCAAACAAATTAAGTACAAGTGCAAGTTAACCAACTAAGTATCAATATAAGTACATGTATCACAACTTAGTACTAGTGTAAGTAAACTAATTTAGTACCATTGTTAGTAAATCAATTAAGTACAAGAGAAGTAACACTAATATTAAGTGTAAGTAAACAAACTTAGTACTGATGTAAATCCAAATTAGCACCAGTGTAATAATACCATCTTAGTAGTAATATAAGAAAACCAACTGAGTTCAAGTGTAGGTAAACCAGCTAAATACCAGTGTAAGTTCACCATTTAAAGTACCAGTTTAAGAAACACAACTAAGTACCAGCGTTAGTTAACCAACATAGTATAAATGTAGGTGAAACAACTTTGAAGTAGTTTATTTAGTAAATAAAGCTATAGTAGTATACCTCTGTTCAATAGTCATTAATCGATTTAACTGAAACAAATTCGGGTCACAAACCAAAACTGAGGAAAATACATCAACTATAAGAGGAAACAAAACGGAACAACAGAAACACTGAACTGATACAAAAACAAACGCCAACATACATAGAAACGGACTATATGATAACAACTGCCATATTCCTGAATTTGTACAGGACATTTAAAAAAAAATAAAAAAAAGGGGGGGGGGGGGTGAACCTGGTTTTATGGCTAGCCAAACCTCCTAATTAGTTCCAGTGTAAATACCATGTATATATAAACCTGCTTATTATCAAAATAAGTAAACCCATTTAGTGCAATTAATGTCGAAGGAGGACAGACACTTTTAATATAAAAATGAAGAGATGTGGTATGATTGCCAATGAGACAACTATCCACCAAAGTTCAAATGAAGTGGATGTAAGCAATTATAGGCAACCGTACATTGCCTTCAACAATGAGAAAACCCATACCGTATACTTATAAGATTATCAACAAAAAGCGACAAAAAAAAAAGACAAATGAAAGTAAAAAATTACAGAGGGAGCTGATGAGAATACAATCTAGATAATAACTGTCAAGTTCACTGGTAGGGTGAGCGATCCTGGCTGCACTGGTGATACCGGTCGAGCTGCCAGAGATCTGGAGATACTAGAATTGTGTATCGCGTGTTTTATATCAAATCTTATTTTTAACGCAGGTCAGTCTGGAGTATTTGGCGAGCATGCCTATCCAGAGATGAAATTTCCAGCTTCAGGATACATTACGTTTAATCCACCATTTACTGCTGTTCCAGCCTTAGTGTACGGATTATATCTGTATGACACTTCAAAGAACACCAATTCTCGACTGGTCACAGATGTTAGCAATCTCTCCAAATCTGGATTCAATCTGAAGATCTATACCTTTGCAGGAACAAAAATGTGGGGAGCTCGTATTTCCTGGATGGCTTGTCCTAAATCAATTGTCGATATTTAACGCAAATATCAAATTATTTTGTGAAATAAAAGGAATCTTTATCAGTCTGTATTTTGTTTGTTTTTCATATAATCTATCAATTGATGGATGTACAATTCCTTGACAAAGAAAACCCGACTCTTCATTACAAAGATTTTTTTGTTTGTGTGTTTTTAAGGTTGATATCTAGATTTCGTTTTTTGTTTTTGTTTTGTTCTTTTTTCTTTTGAAGGGGAGAGGGGGCAAATTCAAACCCGAGTAACCTCTGAAGAGACATGAAATATGACTGCGTTTCTCATTTTAAATATTTGAAGATGAAACGGGAAGGCGAGATCAAAACCACGACGTATTGTTTCCAATATACAAATTTATCCCTATTTCACTTATTATGCTAAAACAATGAAACTCCGTGTCTTATAAAATTATCCTTTTCCCCGACACGGCTTTTGGTTATTTTTTTGCGAATCTAAGTCGCGACACACAAAAATAGGGATATAGGTGAAACGTTTTCGACAAATAGCAGAAAATTCCGCGTAACCTGAGGTAATGGCCGTCTTTGAATTTCTATGATCTGCACTTTTGTTCCGTGTTGGAAATAAGTCAATATAAGAATAAACAGACAAGCATCTTTAAACGGCCCCCACATGACAAATTATAAAACAATTCAAACGAGAAAAACGACAGCCTGATTTATGTACAAAGCAACAAACGAAAAACAAATATGATATACAGTAATAAATGTCAACCACTAACTTAGGACAGGCACATACAGAATGTGGCGTAGTTTACATGTTTGTGGGCGCCATATCCTCCCACTAACGCTGGACAGTGGTGTAACATCACAACATAAGAACAAGCTTTAAAAATCAGTTGAATATGGCTGGACACAAAATACCTATCTAAGAGAACTCAAAGAATCGATCGAGCAGCTTACATAGATCGTATCTTAGTTTACGGGCTTTAAAAATAACATCGCCGTATAGATAATGATGTGGTATTCCGTATCCTTTCGTTTTGTTGGTTGATAAAGTCCAAAGTTCGATTTTGTCAGTGTTTATGGACTTCCCCTTTTTGAATTTACCTTTGAGTTCGGTATTTTTTGTACACTTTCATATTCATAGAAATTATCGCCTATACAGTTGAAACCGCATTAAAACCCGACCACTTATCAAATATGATACTGTTATTCATATATTGATATTAACGAAAATATAGAAAAACTAAGATTGCAACTTGTAAAGGCCTGGCCATTAATTAAGTATAACCGACGATTGGGCTCAAGCAGAAAAGACTATCAGGTGCTGATACTTTAATCAAGAACCAATCTAAAAATGGTAAAAAGCTGAAAATACAAAATGAAATACAATTTTACAATGTGTTGAATTAATGTTATAATGTATGAAATGTCAAAAATAGATAATAGCACAGTCCACTGAACGCGAAATAAAGCTGCAGTTATAAAGGTGAAATTTTCAGTATATCACGGATAAAGAGTTCAAATATGTGATGAACGGGTTGAAGGCATCAAATACAAATTTATTAATGTAACTCACTCTGTGGTTAGCCACACATTGTGTCCAAGATGACGTTTGTCCTTAAGTGTTCTCCAGTTCTGTGATGACATTGCAGTCAAGTTTGAGATACGTGTAAGAAAGGGAATATGTAACGATAAAGATATTTTGAAGTTCTTATACGGTTTAAATATTTTGGCCTAATCAGACACAGAGAGGAAAACTTGGGCGGTAATGTTGATTCATGTATTAAAGTCTCTAACCGAAAAAATGACAACACCCAGGGCAAAACTATGAAATTCGTTATTAATCTCTATCATACCAGCTCAAGAATGGTTATTAATGGCTCAAGAGTAGATCTTTATTTGGTTGAAATTCATGATAAATTATGCGACGAGCTTGCCATAAATGGTCACATGCTGTCAGTTCTTAATGTCAACATCGCATCAACTATTTCAACGTCAAATAGTGTAGGAACAGATCAAAATCTTTCGGCAGCTATCAAAACCTGTCGAGACAATATTGCTGATTTAGCCATTGAATTTAGGGATGATGAAAGTAAAGATTCTGAACATGATCCTGTAGACATCTGTCCAATTTGCAACACAACCTCACTTCTAGACACTATCGAATGCACCGAGTGCTCTTTATGGATTCATTATAATTGTGCTGGAATTTCACAATCGGCTGTTGATGCCTTAAAACTCAGAGCAAAGAGGGATCTCAGCTATTTAACTCACCTGGTGACATTCCATGCGATAATTCTGCAGACTCGTCTCCTCATGACGGCCAACATCCTATGCAAACCGTATCGTCCTCAAGCTACTCTGCTCAATCTGATATGGCAACAGATGTAACCCCCAGGGACTGTCTTCCAACAACAAAAGTGGATGATCCTGAACCGGAAATATCTCACAACTCTTTTTTAGGGCTCAGCCAAAACAACATACCACCCGATCTTGGATTAAACAAAATCCGACAAAATCATCAATTCTAAAACAAACTTCTCAAAATAATGCTGCAGAACATCTTAGATTAACAACAATTAATATGGAAGGTAAAGGAAATGCATTATTTATAAACTCATTAGAATCTTCATCTGACATTATTTGTATCCAAGAACACTGGTTATATGAATTTCAAAAACAATCATTATGTTATGTTCTACCAAATATGGACGTGTTCATTAGATGCAGCGATACATACGAGGAAATCTCAAATTTTAATCGGCCAAGAGGGAAAGGTGGTGTTGCAATAGCTTGGAAAAGATTCTTAACTCCATCCATCAGTGAAATACCATCTGGAAACAACAGGATAATTGCAATTGAACTGAAATCCCCAATGAAGATTTGCATCATTTATATGTATATGCCTACGAATAACTCTGGGGACTCATATCTAGAATACACAGAATGTCTTGATGTTATTAGCTCACTTCTATCAATGTACTCAGTATCACATAGAATCGTCATAGTTGGAGACTGCAATGGCACTTTAAAGCCGCCCAGAAAATATAACAAACACGATTTTCTTCTGCAAGCCTTCGTACATGAAATGAATCTTCAATCTCATCACTCTGAGGAATCAACCTTTTTTCATCATTCTGGAATGTCAACCTCTCAAATTGACTATATTCTACACAATGCCACAATTGCCTTTCTTTCGGACTACAAGATCCATGACCAATGTCACTCCAATACTTCAAGTCATATTCCTGTGAGTGCAAAGATGAATGTTAAATCAAAACCAACGAATAAAGCAATCAAATCCGGCTATGTCAGTAAAATCAAAATCCAGTGGAAAGATATAGATAGTGAGACATACCATAACCATATCAGTAATGAACTCTCTCAACACAATATTGAAAGTCACTCGATAGAAGAAAGCATTAACTTCCTGTGCAACTGTCTTAAAAAGCTGCTTCAGTTGCTGTTCCATCAAAGATTATCAAGTTAAAAGGTCCACAATTCAAGGCATCTCCAACCACTCTTATGCTGCTCAAAATAAGTAAAGACAAATATCAACTCTGGAAATCAAATGGCAAGAAAAATGATCATCTGAAAACAGACAAAATACTGATCAATACTGGCGCAACGAAATCTTCGCAAACAACTCCGAAAGGAACATTATTTGGATAGAACTCAATTCTATAATGAATTGATGGACAATCCAAGCAATGATATGTTTCATAAACTCATTCGACGAAACAGAGGCTCCAAAAATAAAGATACAATCTGCATAATGGAAAATGGCGAGCACCACTATTCTGCAACTGACCAAACAAACAGCTTCTCTAGATACTTTGAGGACCTGGCTGTTCCCAAAGACAATGGATATGATCCCGAATTCTTAGATCTCTGCAATATCCGGCATAATATATTTGATGAACTTTGCAAACAAAGCAGCAACGAACCACAATTTAGTTTTCAAAATATCTGTGATGCAATCCAACAGCTACATTCTGGCAAGGCAACAGATGAATAAGGTCTTGCTGCTGAACATTTTAAAAATTCTCCAACAACTGTAACTCATTTTCTTACAAACTGCTTTAATAACATTTTCAACAATCATCATATACCTGATATCTTTAAATCTGGTATCGTAACACCTGTACTCAAAAAAGGGAAAAATCCAATGCTAATGGACAACTATAGAGGAATTGCCGTAACACCTGTCATCTCAAAACTTTTCGAATGTACCATTCTTCCTCGTCTAACAGTGAATTTTAATCAGTCATCACTTCAATTCGGCTTTACAAAAGGCTTGTCGATGCTTATGGCCAGTCTAATTATCACTGAAGCTAGAGCAGAAGTAAAACTAGTCAAAATGGAGCCTTTATTTCTTATTACTGTGGACAGTCAGGAGGCATTCGACGTGGTAGATCACATCATACTACTAGATGCGTTATATGACCATACTCAGAATCATCCTCTTTGGTCAATAGTGAAAAATCTTTACTCAGGGCTAGTTTCAAGAGTCAAATGGAAGGGAACCATTAGTGATAGCTTCAATATTCATCAGGGAGTACGACAAGGAGGCATTCTTTCACCCTTTCTATATAAAGTCTATGTGAACAATCTGCTTGAGGATCTTAAATCGCACAGTCTTGGTCTTAAAATTGGCACAAATTATGTTGGTTGCGGACGACATAGCCTTCTTAAGCAGCAGCCATCAGGAATTACAATGCATGCTTTCTGTTGCAACTCATCATGCCAGACAGTCTAGAGTAACAATAAATCCTACCAAAACTAAAGCTGTCATCCTCAACAAACCGAAAAATATAAACAGGTCCGACTTAAACTAGACACTAGGCAATACCCCTGTTTATCCATCAGAAGACACAACACATCTTGGCTTAATAAGAGCAGAATTGAAGAAAAACAATCTTAATGTTGATGCGCGCATCAGTATTGCGAGAAGAACCCTATACTCTCTGATGAATACTGGTCTACATGGAACAAATGGACTAAACCCACAGACATCTTACAGGATATATCAGAGCTATGTTATTCCTCGTCTGTTATATGGAATGGAAATACTCCCTCTTAACCAGAGCC